GATGTACCCAAAGCAAGCCTTGACAACTAAATTGAAGCTTTTGAATGCTTCATTTATGCACACAATATTGGAAACTATTTTTGTCTCAGCAAGTTTCTGCAGCATATCCCCATTTTTAAGAAGGTTCCTGCACTCATTTCCCTCAAACTAGCCCCCGGGATACGGGCTCAGTCAAATGTGGAGGGCGGCTGGCCACTTAACAGCTTCTATCCAAGTAGTTTTAAGGATTTTGGTTGACAACTTCTAAGAGGAGATGCAATTCCATCGGTGGAATGATTTCCAAAGCCAGAACATTGACCAGCCCGCAGGTAAATGGCTTTCGAATGACATTGCCAAACAGCTTTGCATTAGCAACAACCCCGCCAGATTGGTGAAAAAACTCAAGGCTTGAATTAATTGACCCCAGTGTTTGCAAGTTTCCAGATTTGGCAAGACAATTGGATTTGACGTCACACGAGGTGCAAGGGTGCGTACTTGAATGAGTTTGAAGACCACAAATTATATTTGCAACTTTCATATCACAAGCCAAAATTAGTTTAACTCCATTTGCATTATTCAATGACCAGATTTATTCAATATTGGAGTGTGTTTCTGGCAAATCTTCTGAAATCCCAACAATAACTTGTCTCTTGACTCCAGTGTCTTTACCAGTCCTTTGAGTGAGAGGTTGTTGTTGGTGCGGTGGAGGTTGTTGTTGGTGCGTAGGCAAAACTTGAGAAAACCTTTGCCACCATCAATTCCGAGCTTAACAAAATAGCCACCAGAAATTTTGCGGGACTGAATAATATGATTCACAAGACTTGATAAATCATTGCAGTGAGCAACAACATGAACTGTACAAGAATCTGTTTTTTCGTCTGTGATTTTGAAGTCACTGCAGGTGAAGAACTCGCTCAATTGTTGACCTAGTCTTAAAAAATTCATGTAGAAATTTCGCTCTACCATCTTGTTGCTTGATTTATAGTTACTTTGATGTTTATAGTTTTGTTTATAGTTCTAACAAGTTTCTATAATCCGTTGTTTGACAGGCCCGTATTTAATTGCACATTTACAAGGGCTACAGTGGTCAATTTTGGAGCACTTGATGGTGTCTGCGCACTACTTTGACCTAAAACCAAAACATAAATATTTTATATTTACAATAAACTTTGTTTAGTAAGTTTGTGTAAAACTTTCAAATTATTCGTTTTTAAAGAAGTTAGAAACTTGTCAAAAATATACTTCTTGAAATCTATCTAGTGTTATTTCTTAATATTCAAGACTTTATTTCAATAAATATGTTAAAATTATTTAAGTATAAATATTTAGCAGGGGTAACTGTAAGTGGAGGCCCGCCGGATGCTTTACCCAGTAGAATAGTTCCTTCCGGAGATAATTTTTTATTGGAAATAACTCGAGATGCGATTTGTTCGGATGATTTGGTATCTTTAGCTGCTAAAGATTGAATGTTTTCCCTTAACATTATTTGAGAGCATTGGTGGGGTAAACCTTTTCTTAAAGGACTGAGGCATTTGCTGCAACGCACCTTTTTTCTCAATAGTGGTTTGCTCTATAAGAAGATGTTTTTCTTCCAACTTTAAATGACTAATTCGGCATATTAGGCAACAACATATCGTGCCTCTTGTTTCAGGTCTCACTTGTATTGGCTTAAAATCAAACAAAGGAGGGAGTGTAACTTCTTTCCCCCCTTGTTTCCTGCGCAAAGTAATTCTACACGATTCGCAAAATCTATTTGGTACCCAAGTGTCACTGATATTGATCTTGGTCTTGTACAGTAGGCATATTTGATCTGCTTGAATAGTAGTGAGCTGTCTTAAACATTTTTCAGAAAGAGCAAGCACACAAACTTTCGATTTTCATCATGGTTCATTGCTTGATTTGGCATCGTGGCAATTCACTAAATTAGACTTTACTAAACCAAACTCTGCCTTTTACAAAATTTGACCTAAATTTATATTTGATAACAAACCACTTAACATAGTAACACATATTATTTATTAAAAACTATTAAAATAAAGGAAATATTTACTTGATTTAATTGAGGTAATATTAAATTACAAGGAAATAATTCTTGAATAGTTCTTTCCTTACCAGGAAACATTTGTTTAAACTATTTACTTGTAAGGAAATTACATTGTTGATAATTGTCACACTTATTAAACTAATGATACTTGTTACACGGGTTGTTTTATTTCAACCTAATTAGTTATTTAGTTAGAGTAATTTTCCTCCAAACTTTGCATTGGTTAGATATCTTTGTTAACTTATCTAAGTTTTTTAAGTCAATTATCTTAAAAATATTTGATTTTTTCACAGTTGTTCTGTTTTCAGATAAATAAATATTTTTATTTTCTATGTAGGTATCCCTAGAAATCCTTCTTTACCATTTTTTTTAGTATTTTTTTGCATTCTGGCAGTAGTTTATACTTTAGGAAATGTTGGTATATTCACGCTATGCATATATGGCCTTCAAGGGAGCCATGGCCTGCCCACTTTTTTTTGCAAGAACCTTTTGTTTTAGAAATATAGACAACTATTTTAGAAATTATGGATTTTATTTTAGAAATTGAGGGGTTGACCCCCTCCACTTTAAAGGCCTTTGGCGTTAGCCAATTCAAATCACGCTCTAAGTAGCAAATCACTATTTTGGTCTATAAAATGAAAACTGTACATGTACCGATAAAATAATTATAACAAAAATTGTTGGTATTACATAGTAGAATACTCATGTAACCGTTATTTTAAAAAAAGTTACTGAATTTCAAAGTAATCGGTAACGCTTTGAGGTATAAGTAGCAAAAAACTGACAAAACTTCAACTAAAACTGCAATAAATCCTACACCAGTCATCCAATCAAGCTGAAATTTTGTCCAGAGTTTGGTGTGACTATTGGCTACATTTGCACCAATTTTTATCAAATTATATTGAGTAGTTCAAATTCTACAAGTGTTTTTATTGGCGTACTATGAAGTCAAAATTTGACTTAATTTAAACATTCAAATTAAATTATTTTCCGCGGACAAATTTTGAATGATTTCAAAATTTGCATTACAGGGTACCTTGATGTGTACGCTAACTTCCCGTACAAGTGGCGTTCTTGGGACAGCTAGGTAGGCATTATAAGGATACTTGCTAACCGTGCCATCTTAAGAAATACAACTAATAGGTACTTTTTGTTTACTTGACTTAATCATAGTTAATGCATAACACCTTAATCAATAATGCAATTATTATGCAATAATGAAATAATACTATGCAATTGTCTTATTTGCTATGCAACTTTTTTATTGCTGCTAATCAACCTAATGTCGTAACGAAAGTCTCCTTACGTGACCTCAACAATGCGCATCAAAAACTTTAACAGAAATAACTTCCTAGTGCAAAATAACACTTTTAACTCGCTGCTACTTTATATTAGTACATAAAATAACTCTAAAAGCACATCAACGTTTAATAAATCTTACTGCCAACTAACCAGAGAACCAATAAAGTTAGTTTTAGAGCTATATCCTTATTAAAAGATAATTTTATAGTTATTAACAATGGAACATAAGTAAACACTCATGAGTAAAATCAACTACCGTGATGCAGTGGTTAGAGTTTTGGCTCCAAGAGGTCCGAAGCAGGTTGTAGTCAAATAAGCAACATTGGTAAAGAAGGAGACGTGAACTTCCTAATTAAATGGTCTTCTACGGTGCTCAATGATAAAACCGTTTAAACCAAATATAACTTACTACTATTAATTATTGCAACACTTTTATATTAATGAATGATAATAATTATAGTGAGTAATCTGCTTTACCTGCTTCTGATCAAAGTCATATATTCAATGAATTCCCAAGTGAATATTTGCTAATGCTGTTGTTTTTTGTTTTACCCTATAAATCACTTATTTGGCCTTGTATAGAATACTGTTATCAAATCTTGCCAGGTTCTTTTAATGAGGCTTTTTTTGTTTTAGACAAGGTCAAAAAATGCATGACAAATTTACGCTAATATTACTGAGTAGTAATGACAGAGTGACAATCACTTGTGATCATCACATAATCATCACTCGATTACCGAAAATACTTCAATAGGTTAACAAGGTTGCTTCTTTTTATCGTGCTTGCTGTTTTCTTACTTCCAACTTCATTTTTTATTTCTATAAGTCTTCTATCTTTTCTTGTAAATAAAACTACATTTAAATAAAACTATAATTGCAACATTCTTTTGGTGGTATTCTAACTTAAGCTTTTATTTCATCGTGGTGATGTTGCGTTTTTTTTTTTTTTTTTACACCACCGTCGCTAGTCAAGCGAGCTATCATTTTTTGTACCACAAACTAAAATAAAATCTTACATAGATTAGCATTCAGCATTATGCAATTTTTTTACTATAACTATATCCTTCATGCTCAAAAAACTTTTTTTCTTTGAATATCAATGCTTTGGAATTTTTTTCCTTTTGCATGTTTGTCTCAACTTATACAATTTTATCTCTATTTTACTTTCTTGTAACTTTCAACTTAAATACTTTTCTAAAACTTCCAACATAGTACTTTGAAGTAACTTACTTGCTAATTAAATTCGGACTTCTTTCAACTTCATTATAATGCAGTACAATTAAAAATAGTTTTTTTTTTTTAGCATGAGTGTGTTTGCAATAAATAAAAGAAAATGTGTAACGGTTAATATCATACGTGTTTTAGAGATAAACTTATTACATTTTTTACATTTAATAAAACGATCAAAAATTTATTTGTATTTATAAATGTTCCATATATTCACTAAAAAGAATAAAAGATGTTGCAATTTCAAACTGGAATGGTTTTTACCCGTCTTTAATTAACTTATAACTCCCTTGAAACACAAATACTTTTCCAGTTTACTTTTTAAAGATCTGCGGGCCAGCAGAGAAATCGCACTTAACTAATGTGTTTTCAACCTCGAATCAATGGGTTTACTCCTATTCGGCTTTTGCAAATCGTTGCAAAGAAATTTACCCGCGAGTAACAAGAAATCTCGGTCAAAAGATTACCAAGCCGAACGTTTCGTTAGACGGCGGGAAAGTGTTTTAATCTTTTTCGAAGTTCAACTTAAGTGACATTTTAATACCAAAAGATTACATGTCAAAACTTATAAAAAATTTTATTTTTAAATTAATTTCTTTTAAACTAAACAGTCTAAAAAAAGGAGATTTTACGTTAGTGTTTTACGCAACGTTTACATGAATGAAACTTGTGCATTGTTAAATAAACGTCAAAAGCGAAAGAAAAAGAAATAGAAAAAGAAAAAGAAATAAACTTTATACTTTGTGTTTAAAGATTATGTTTTGCTTTCCAATTAGTCCTCAAAAAAGGTAAAAAATAAGTATATTTTTATAACAAAACAAGATTGTTAGTTTTAAATAGTTTATGACATTATTTGAAACCACTATATTTTTCTCGCAATATAGTTTACTTATACTTTTATATACGTATGTATATAGAACTTATTTTCTCTCTTTATATATACAAGGCCGGCGAGAAGAGGTGTGTGTTTCTGTTTGTGTTTGTGTTTGTGTTTGTGTGTGTGTGTGTGTGTGTGTGTGTGTGTGTGTGTGTGTGTGTGTGTGTGTGTGGAGGAATGGAGGAAGGGGGATGGTAGTGGTAAAAAACGATTATGCATGATTTTGGATCTAGACTGTATAAGTTCCATTAAGTGTTAAACTATATATATGTTTAGACTTCGATCAAATCCGTTTGCTTCGTTTGTCATCCATGCAGAGTTTCCTAGTAATCCAAACCAATATTTACCTAATATTTCAGAGCATAAGATACAAAATGAACCAGACAGTTTAATTGATGATCCTTCCAGTATATTTTTTGATCCAAACGAAAAACCTGGTTTTGTATATACATCAACGGCCTCCTATACTAATAATTTTGATTATAAACAATATATACCAGGGCCTGAAAATACCAATACGATTGATGAAAAACGTCTTAGTAAAGTTGCAGATAAATCTCTCCAAGAAAATTCTGTTTCTTCAGAGTACGATGATAGCTTAGATACGACCCAGTCTCTTCCTAACACACCTTCAGTTAAAAGTGAAACTGGAATCTTCCAAAAACAGTTTTCTAACAGAAATAATGTATTATGTGCCGAAAACCTAGAATCTGATAGAATTTATTGTAATTCTTTTGAAGAAGACTTTACAGAAGCAATTGAGTTTCATTCTGCGTTAAAAGGTATTGATCACCGCAACTCGATACCTGACCCATCTTTAGTTGATGACTACAGTGAGTTACATTTATACGAAGATGAGTTGTTATATAATTGCGATTTTAGAAATAAAGGTTACAACTCTGAATCAGAGAGTGTAAAGACGTATCAAGATTCAGGAATATATGATGATGATGTTTTCTTAGAATCTCCAAAACCAATGACCAGCGAAGAACTTGAAAGTGTAACAGAGCAACTTTTTGCTAGAGAGAATGGATTAAACGAAAATAAAAAAAGAGGAATGGATCTGGAAAGATTTTCAGCCTTCAAAACTCCTAACAGCTCTAGACACAATAGTCTGGAACTGATAGTAACACCGCAATCTCCAAAAATGCCTTCATTCAAAAAGCCTGCCGGTAAGTTTTTTTTCAACAAATTAACAAATTAAAAAAGTACTTAAGTGCAAAGCGGGTGTATATATATATATATATATATATATATATATATATATATATATATATATATATATATATATATATATATATATATATATATATATATATATATATATATATATATATAACAGCAAACAATCAAGTTTTATTTAAAAGCATGTTTATTTAGAATAAAAATAGAATAAAAATTTCTTTTAGAACAGTATAGTAAGTTTTTTAAATTTTGTTTCATTAATATTAGCTAAGGCAACTTTACCTTAACAAACATAATTTGAAAGAAATATTTTTTGTTTTACTTAGTTTATGAAACAATGAAAAATTAGTTTTTAAAACCTTTTAACAAGTCAGTATAATTATATTAGGCATTTATTATTTTATAAGTCAGATTTTAAATTAGGTCGTCTTAAAACTCCTTGAAAATGCCTAACAATGTATAAAAATAACTATTTTTAACAATTTATAAATTAATTATTTTTAGCAAGTAATTATCGTGTAAATAAACTATTAACTGCAAATTTAATGGCAAAAAAACGATTAAAAAAACGCATTTATATTCTATATTTATTCATTAGAAATACTTATATTCTGTTCGACTTAAAGTTAAGTAGAGAAACTTATGTAATTTTTTTTCTGCAGAATACTCCTCTTTTTAAACTTATTTAATTATTTGCTGCACAAAAAAACAACCTTTAAAATACAAATAAGCAATTATTCGCTCAAAACTGTCCATTTGATCGAACAAACGGTGGGAACCTAACATGCTGATAAACGTTCAAACTTATGCGCAATACTGAAAAAAATAGCTGCGAATCTATATCTTTAGAGCGGTAAAGTTGCAAATATTAAATAAAATAAAACTTAGTTAAAATAAAATAAAAGATAGTTAAAATTCAGGATGGTTGACAAAGAAAAAACTCAGTCATACTTTTCTTCGCCAGATTTTTTAAATAATTATCTTGGATCTTTTGAAATTAAGGATCGACCGAAAAGAAGTATATATCGATTTCTAAAAGACGAAAAGCGGTTGCCTGATTACACGCCAAGAGATTTACTTCATACCAAATTATTTAGTAGCAACATAGAAACGTTTGATCAAAATGATTTATCCGATGAAAATTTACTTGGTGAGAATGTTTGAAGGTGTTGCGTTATTTTATATTATGAAACAATTCAGCTGTAACTTTTTCTGATTTAAATAAAAAATATTTCACGATAACTGGTTTAGAGAAGAAAGAGGTAATAATGCCTCTCGAAACTAATACTAATGAAACTTAAAAATGTACTTATTCCTTAAAAAGTACCGTCCTATAGTATTAATATCATTTTCTAAATTCTTAATTGTTAATTGATAAAACCTTGTCATTGGAGTAATAAAAACATTTTGTTTGTAATAAAATCCTTTTTCGTTGAAATTTTGTTAGCAAAAAAAACATAAATTACTCGCTTTGTAAGCAAAATATTAGAATGTTCGCTTTGTAAGCAAGAAGTTCCGAGTGTGATTTTATCGCCTTTTTTTGCTCAGCGGTCTTGTTTGTCAAGGCTCTTGATTTAATTCAAAGAGTTGTGACACCAATAAAAAAATTAATTTTCCTTGACTGTAGTGAAAATTGGGAGAGAGTGAAAAAAAGAAAAAGATTTTCATAAAATTTTACAAAAATTTGCTTATTTAGAGACCGAGTTTTTATAGTATTAAAAATTTGTCAAACAATAAAGCATCCTTTACTAAATCTACCTGAAATTCTAACAACTTGACTTAGCTTCTAACTGAACTTCTATATTATTATATATATGTAATATAAATTTAGTAATTTTTAAAATTATTTTAGTTTGTAAAACATATTTTAGGAGTCAAAAAATGTTTTAACTTTTTTTTAATACGATCATCATATAAAATATTATGCATTTAAAGTAAAAGTATAATTTAAAGGAAGAAGTGTAGAAAAGTCAAGAAAGTTGGGGGAGGAGGGGGGGAGGCTGAAATAGAAATTAAGGGAGGTTAAGGCAGCCAGAATCAGAACTTGAATGGAAAAAACAGAAATTTTTGAAAAGTTAAGGGCTATCGCCTCCTCCTTCCTTTGTTCCTATGTCAGTGTTTAAAGGTTTGCTTACGATTTACGTGTATAACTTTTGTAGACTGGATGTCTACTACATATCTAGATATCTGTGTAATAGATCTGAGTTTGCTAAATCGAAAAAAAAAATTTTATTTAGAAATGAACTCTGGAAAAAGAAGCAGTAACAAGTATAGCCACATACAAGCAAAAGTTCAGTGTCACGTAAGTTTTTTTTCTTATTTAAATTTAAAAAAAACATTTAATAACAAATTTTTATAATCTCAGCGAACACAAAATGTACTTTTAGTTTAAAAAATGTTTTATAGGTGTATAAGCAATTTTTATCTGTTTTACAGAGACGAGAAGAAAGGTCAGTATCCCCTGGTATCCCATTAAGAAAAAAATCGCCTACTCAAGCTAAGCCACCTTCAATAAAAACTGGTAATTAGTTTCAATTATATTAGTAATTTATTTTCTTGATTATAATAGATTTATTTATTTTGATATAAGTTAACTATTAGCAAAAATTACCTTACAATTAAAGTTAAACTAATATCAATAAATTGATAACAATACGTATGTATATATATATATATATATATATATATATATATATATATATATATATATATATATATATATATATATATATATATATATATATATATATATATATATATATATAGCAACCGTGGCGCAGTGGTTAGAGTTCTGGCTCAGAACCCAGAGGTCCAAGGTTTGATGCCAGCTTTAGCCCAACAAGCGACATTGGTACGGAAGGAGACGTGAACTTCCTGTTAAATGCTCTCCCGCGGAGCTCTATGATAAAATCGTAAGGACTTCTGGGAGCACCTAAATAAATACAAATATATATATATATATATATATATATATATATATATATATATATATATATATATATATATATATATATATATATATATATATATATATATATATATATATATATATATATCTTACAGCTTTATGCAAACCTACTCAAAAACCTCCAAAATTGAACGAGATCAAGCCAAAGGTTGATTCCTTAAGCAATATAAATTACGTGCCAGGTGGTGGTGAATCGAAGGTTTGATTATTTGTTTATTATGGTTTGAATGAAAAATAACTGAAAAAATAAAAATTTGTAACAGTCACCTATACGTGTAAAATACATATTTATACATTCGCAGATCTCTAACAAAAGTTTATATTTTTCAAAAAACACTTCACAAATTTGTAGTTATCTATATAATATTTATAACAAATTTTTTGTATTGTTGGGCTAAGGTGTTTACAGAAAGGTTAACATTCCGTCAAAAGGCTGAACCCCGTACTGATACTCATGGTATCGAAATGTATGCTCATTTACCAGAGGAATTTCAAGAAATTGCAAGAAGGTTAGCGCGTCAAGATTCTCAATTAAAAAAGCAAAACCGCGGGCGATCTGCATCTCGTAGTCATAGCTCATCTTTTGCAGTTTCAAGTAGACAATCGAGTATTTCACCTGAAAGAGGCCGATCACGAACTAGACGTACAAGTCGTAAATTAACGCCAGGAAATTCTATATCTGATATCTTTGCAAAAGTTAATTCTAATAAGGTAAACTTTTATATACTCTTTATAACTTCATTAACAGACACCCCCATATGAATTTTAAACTTTATCAAAGAGAAACGTTTAGAACAAGCCATTGTTAATTAAATTTTTTAATAATTTATTACATCTTTATATATTTATTACAGCAACTTGGTAGTCCTGTCAAACCAACACGGCCTTCTTTAAGTCGTTCGTCTAGCATTAGATCAATACCAAATACCCCAAATCTTTACAAACAACATCCAGCAAGTGCAATACGGTCTGAAAAATCTCCAACTGCATCTCCGGCCAGAAGTCCAGGAAGAACAACCGAAAGTAAAACATTGTTACTTAATTATAACGAACAATTAAACACACTAAAAAACCGTAACAAGGTGTCAACAGTCGCAAAAGCAGATCGAATGCCTTCTCCAGTTATGAAGCTTTATCAGTTTACAACACAAAATGATTCATTCGGCTCGTTAATAAGCAATTAATTAAAATTAAAGATGCATCAGAACAAGAATGAGTTAAGTAACTTTGACACAATTCCCTATAGGATTTTTCAGAACTTAGAACTAGAAAAAAATGGCCTGCTAGACCAGCCATCAAGTTAAAACAAATGGATTAGTTTTTTAATGAAATTTATTTTTAAATCAATTTTCTTTTTAACCATTTTGTTAAAACTTTTGTCATAATTTTAATGTAATGTTGTTTCAATCTTTATTATAATGTTGGTCAATCTGTCTTGTCTAAAATCATATAGAATCCTACTCCTGTTTTTGACTCGAAAATACGTACATTTATTTAATAAAATATTGTTCTATTTTTTTGTTGTTTTATAAGTGACTTTTATATTTAAAAAGTCAATAGGTTTTTAATTTTATTCCTTAAAAAATTATTGTAATATTTTGTATATTATTTTTATTTATGACAAACAATTTTTATTGAAACTCACGAGACCTGCATGACCTTAACAGTTTTAATTTTTTAAATAACTTATTATATAGCAGAGTGTTGTTTTCGTTTATCTAAATGTTTTTCATTTTTGCCTAAAAAAAGACGTTCAAAACTTTTAAAAGACATTTAATAAACGTCTTTTTTACATCCCGAACCCGCTGGGTAAAAAGTGCTTTTTTTATTAGTAAAGATGCAATATTTTATGCTTACCACTAACCCGATTGTCTATTCCAACTCGTCAAAATTGCGGGGTTTGTTGGAACGATTAACCGCATTTTTTTGGATTTTAATTGGTTTTGATCGTTTTTCGTTTAGTAGCAAGTTGCCCCGTCGCGGAAGACAATGTTACAGTGTTCACATTTTGCGGTCCTACCCCTGTACACTTTAAGTTGTATTTAAATAAGATACGAAGAATTTTTTATTTTAAATAGTAACTGAAGGAATTTCTTATGAATTAGTTTCTTATCTAGAAAGCAAAAGTGTGTTAATTGCTATTTTAAATAAATAAATAACAAATGAATTTTACTACTTATAATGAAATTATTTTTATTAGCTACAACGACCAACAGGGTAAAGAGGACAAGCTCTTTAGATGACTATTTTGTCAAAAGAAGTAAAATTCTACCAATGCAGGACCATGCTGGTCCTATCGTTTTGCCTTTATCTTTCGGGTCATCTTCCGAACGATCAGCCCTGTGATAGCTAATGATAGCTGTTTGCCTATAGACATTGGGGTATTTTTAACACGTCAAGTAACTGAAAAAGATAAATACCGAATATTGAAATGCAATTGGTTTCCTGGTTCAAATTACAAATATCCATATTCTGTGCATCTAAAGAAGGGTAAGAATGTTAATTGCTTTTTATCCGAGAAACATATACAGAAGTTTCCATGGATAATGATTTCAGAATGCCTTTATGGAATTTTTTGTAGGTATTGCTTTCTTTTTGCAAAAGTTGTGGGAATACACGGTCAAGTGCATTTACTCAAGCTAGTTACTTTACCTCTTAAAAGTTATTCAAAGCTTTTGGGTAAGGATGGAGACTTACAATTACATGATTGCAATGTGTATCACAAAGTTGCTATGTTGGCAGCATTTAATTTCGTCAAAACATACGAATGTCCGTCTACAGATGTACGTAATTTAGATAACGAAGGAAGACTTAAACAGGCTAAAGAAAATAGAGAACGATTAAAGCCTATAATTGAATCTATAATATTTCTTGGTCGATAGAATATTGCTCTTTGAAATAAATCAAAACTCTTCATTAAATAATGATGGCAATCTTCGGGAATTGCTTTGCTTTCGAGTGAGCGCTGGGGACAATATTTTAAAAAACCATTTGAATAACTGTAATTCTAAAGCAACATAAGTAAAAGTATTCAAAAAGAAATAATTGAACTATCCGCTCAACAAATTCAGGACTTAAATAAAACAAGAATTTTTAAACGAAAATTTTAAAACGTTATATTTGATGAAACAACGGATACCAGTCATAGTTCTCAAATGACAGTCGTATTAAGATATATTGATGTTAATACCTGTGAAATCCGTGAAGATTTCATTGGTTTTGTAAACTGTCATACTGAAAATTATTCTAATTTTACTTATGAACCTGTACTAACAGGAGAATTGCTAGCAAACACATTGACAAAATTTGGCTTCAATTTAAAAGATTGTATTGGTATAGGTACTGATGAAATTACAGGATTTTCTACCAAACGCAATAAAAAGTCCATGCTACAATCATGCTTTAAACTTATCGGTTTCTAAATGTTTGTCTGTGCGAGCTGTAAGAAATACAATTGGCACAATGAAAGAAGTAATATCATTTTTTAAAGGTTCGCCGAAGCGAAGTAACGTTCTTAAATATATAAATAAGGGAATGCTTACAAGCTTATGCAAAACAAGGTGGATTGAACGGCATGATTCTGTGTTAAGTTTTAAATCTTGTTTAACAAGTATAGTAGAAACACTTGATTTGATATCTCAGTGGAATGAACGGGATTCTTCAACAAAGGCTACATTACTAAAAAATGCAATATCTGAGCCCTTATTTGTAATAACACTTTGTTCATTAGCTAATGTGTTAAATACCACAGTCTCTTTAAGTGAAGCTCTTAAAAAAAAATTATTGAATAAGGAATATGCAAAAACTATTCTTAAACATACCATAAAGATATTAATTAAAAGATGACAGAATGAAGAAAACTTTAACTCTATATTTATGACTGCATCAAAGTTAATAGAAGATATAGGTTTAAAAATTAAGATTTCACGAATTACAGGAAAACAAACTAATCGCGCAAACCTCAATACCAATGATCCTCTAACTTACTATAGAGTCAATGTTTATTTACCGCTACTTGATAGCATACTTCTAGATTTACAGTTCAGATTATCTGATGAAACTTTAAACTCTTTTGAATTAAATGTTGCAATACCTAAAATTTTATTAAATAAAACAAAGACAGAGTTAACAGCATCCATAACTAATATACTGAGTTTTATGAAAGGGCTACCCAATATAAATACTGTTGATGAGAATGTCCTATTAATGAAAGTTTCTTCAGAATTTAAATTTTGGGAGCTAAAATGGAAAGACGCAATCAAAAAGCAACAAGACCTACCTGAATGTGCACTGGAAGTATACAAGCAATGTGATGGTAATGTCTTCCCTTTAATTAAATGTATTTTGCAACTGCTTTGCACCCTACCTGTTAGCATTGCTTAGGGAGAACGGTTTCTCGGTTTTAAAAAGACTCAAAACTTGGTTAAGATCCAATATAGGACAAGAACGATTAAATTGCTTAGCTAATATGCATATCCATAGAGATTGCATCATAAATGTTGAAAAGATTATTGATAGTTTTGCATCTTCGAAAACTAGAAAGCTTAATTTTATATTGTAGTTTGTTAAACTTTGTTAAAAGTCTTTATTCAAAAAAATATATAAATACTATAGATATTATTTCGTCTTTTGTTGAACATTATAGACAGGGCCAGATTTACCTACAGGCAGACAATACTGCAGCCTGTGCACCATGATTTTATCGGGCTCAATTTTTAAATGTATCATGAAAATAAAATCTGTCCCTTAATACAAACTAAGTATTTATTTTCAACTTTTGATTTTTTCAAGATATTTATATACAGTTACATTCAATATATTTAGTAACAAACTTTTCCAAAAATATTCTAAATAATCAAATAAAAAAGTGGTTTATCTGAAGAAAAAAAAAGCGGAATTTTTTTGTTGGCTAAATTACCACCTCCCCCCTCCCTAGGACAATGACCTGGATCAGCCACTGTTATCAAGCTTTCAAAATTATGATGACAATTTTCAGCCGTTGTTGAATTCCAAAAGAAAGCTTGTATCAAAAGTGAGTAATAAAACTTCTTAAAATGAAAATAGTTTTGTTTTTTTTAATATATATATACTTCATTTTTTATTTAAAGGATTGCCAAGTGCCATCACGTGCGCAGAAACTGGTATCTCTATCCACGTAGAGGCTAGGACAACTTGCTCGTTAAGTTATTTATATGGAGATATTACCACTCCACATCAAACTTCTATTTATAAAGATGGTAAAAGGGTGCAAGTTACAACTCCTGTTTAACTTATAGCAATTTTGTCTATTCAATCATCATTTATGCTACATTTTCAAGGGAAAGCAGTGGCACCACAAAATGAAGACGTTAAGAAAGCAGAACGTACGGTCATTGACTTTCAGTAAAGTAGACCAATATTTCGGCACAATGGTACCAAAAAACTACATACAAAAGATACCTCGAAAAATCTTGCAGCTATGATAATAGAAATATTGTTAGAGTATAATATTGCCGATAAAATATTTCTTATCATTTGCGACAATTACTCTGTCAATACAGAACATGCTCTTACAACAATAGGGATTTGAAGGATTGAACGTTTTTACAGAAATACTCCTTATGCAATCCACACATTTTGGACCTTGTGTGGGTGCAATCCTTGTGTGGTGGCAATCCTTGTGTGGGTGAAATCCTTGTGTGGGTGCAATCCACACATTTTGGACCTTGTTATTAAAAGAAATGTTAGCCAACATCAAGAAAACTGTCTGCTGATTTTGAGTAATTTAATTTTATACGGCTGCTGGTTAAACTGATTTTAAGTTTATAAGAAAACTTTAGAAAAAATATCTAACCTTAAAAAAATCACACAAAGCCCAGCATAAAACGTCTCATCCTTCTGGTACTTTAAAAGCCTGGAGAGATTATCGGATCTTGCTATTAAGGTAATTAAGGTACTCCTAGAAGTCCTCACGGTTTTATCACGTGATCATTGCGGAAGAGCATTTAACTGGGACGTTCACACCTCCTTCTTTAGCTATGTCGCTTATTAGGCTAGAGCCAGCGGACCTCTTAATTTTGATCCAGAATTTTAACCACTGCGCTACGGCTGCACATTTACCCATGTTCTTACCCAGTAAACACCAGACGTAATCTAGCTGTCTATAGTCGTCTAAAATAGGTTTAAATAAAAAGGCATTGTTAATGGCGACTATTAGACGTTTTCTATACAATAAAATTTATTCGTCTTTAACGCAAACGTCCTTTAAATATCTTTTAAAATGCACTTTTATGAAAGACATTCAAGTAATTATCTCATAGTTTATGTATTGATATAAATTGCATATTCTAATATTCTGTCGATCTGCTTTTTTTTATGCTAATTTTTTAACGTTTTGTTTTTTACTGATATTACTTCAGTTCTTCAAAAGATTTAATTATGAATCCATAT